TAAAAAATGTGTAAAAACATTTATTACGGAGTATATAGTGTACATTATCTTACACATGTTTGTGACAAGTTATTTTTTCATGTGTTGTCTCGAAAACGGCTATTCACAATAAAAAAAAATTGCAATAACGTTCAATTGATTTGTTACTTCGAAGTAGGTCTGGGACTTTGGAACCAAGAACCGAAGAACCGAACCGGACCGAACCGTTATGACCCGGTTCGGTTCGGTTCCAAAATTTATTAGTTATTTGTTAATGGTTCGGTTCCTACTTTTTATTAACGGTTCGGTTCTCGGTTCCTGTAAAAAATATGTACGTGGAACCGTTAAAGAACCGTTATATATAATAATTAAAATTATATATATTTCTTATTAGTATATATATTTTAATGTATATTTACTTATCTATTTTCATAATACATTCACTATTTTAGTTTAGTTATTTAACTATTTGAAATTATTTTTCATTTAACTGGTTTTATTGGGCTTCTTTACCGAGTATCTTGTTTTGTTTTTGTTTTCTAAAATTTGCAGTTTGTTATGTATTCATCTTTTAAACTCAACTTTTGAGGTTTGAAACGAAGTTCAACATATTTGTATTGTAATTTCAAGCGTTGAATGTGTTTTTGACACAAATTTAACCGTGATTTGTAAGATTTTTTTTAAATACTAGGAACCGTTAAATGACAAGAACCGAACCGTTAAGAACGGTTCGGTTCCTTATCGGTTCTACAAAATAATTTATAAGAACCGAACCGTTAGTAAAATTTCATATTTTCAAACGGTTCCACATATTTCGCCTAGGAACCGAACCGGTCCCAGGCCTACTTCGAAGATTTTAGGAGCCGCATACGTCTCCCTAGGTTTCTCTAGAGTTGATTTTAGGAGCCGCGGACGTCTCCCTAGGTTTCTCTAGAGTTAGTTTTTGCAGTGCCGCTTTTCTTCTTTCTCGATCGAAAGGGGGAGGATTCGGCTACAACATCTCTTTGTTTGTTTGGTTTTCGTTCGTGGAGGGGAGGAGTCCGGCTTCGGGTTTCTTCGAAGGGGTATCTCGGACAGGGCTGGGATTTTGAAGGCAAAAGAGCTCTAGGATTGATTATGAGATCAAAAGAGGACGAATGAAGCTGGAAAACAACGATCAATATGTGACCTTCTATCAATTGTCCAAGCATATCTCTTTGTAGAAACATCCAATAAACACGATTCAAGTTGCATATGAAAGACGACTTCAAGGGCTACAAATCATATGAAGATACCATTCGAGAATCTGAGAGGAAGAAGGTGAAAACAAACAATGAAGTCAGATGAATCCTATTACAATTTCAGAATGCGACCTTCCACCGTTTTGATCATATCTCTTGATTGGATGATTCAAATCCAATTCGGCAAGTTGTGGTGGATAGAGGACTTCATTATATACAACTGTTATGAAGGAAGTTTTGTCAAATTCAAAAGTTTTACGCACGCTGAGCGTAGGGGAACGCACGACCGTGCGTCCGAGGCGAGAAATCGAGCTAGCTACAACCAGCCACACATGGCCGTGCGTGGGGGAACGCACGCTGTGTGTGCCCCCTGGAGCCCCGATTTCGCCCGAATTACCCTATTTTTGTCCCAGTTCAGCCCAAACTCATCTGTTTTCTATAAATAAGGCTTCTATTCTCCTGTTTAAGGGTTATGAACATTATGGAGAGGCCTAGTGACAAAATTACTTGCGTTTTTACGATTGTGTACTCCAAGACCATGGGATTATTAGTAAGCTCATCTTTTTAATTAATTACAATTAATTTTATTCTTCCGAATTCTGTTGATTCTTCAACTATGAATTGTAAGTAGTTTAATTAGGAATTTGGGGTTGATGAAGGGGTTGATATGATGTATGGCTATATTCTTGATGGTTTAATTGCATGATTGTCGTTTAATTTGTGTTTAAATAATTTAACTGATATCTCTTGTGACCTAAATTGTGACACCGCACCCGGATGTACTTGGATTTGAAATTTGATATGTATTTGAATTTTCTGGCGAATAAAATCGTGTAACGGATTGGTATACTTAATTAATGCGAGATTAATTAAATTATTTATCGATCCCATAATAATGATAATGGGCTACCAAATATTTAGTTGGGTCATCGTGACGATTACAGAAGCCCAATAAAGTGCCAACTAAAGTTGATAAAAATATTTGGACAACTCAAGTGCTATTTAGGCCCAACCTGCCAAAAATAGCAAGAATAATTGGGAGGAACTTCCTACGCCCACTTGGGGTGTTCTACCAATCAGATTGACTCAATTAATAAGGGAGGGGGGACAATGCAAGATACTTGTGCGTACATGAAAGGAGAGGAAGTCTCCAAGAGACAAAAACTACACCCCCATGACCCCATCACTAAAATTATTTGGTTGATTGACTAAGTGATACCTCTCCCCTATCCTAGTACCATTCAGACCACTCAAGGGGATAGAGAAGCTCTGGGAGAAACACCATCACCAAGTTCAAGCTTGAAGGAAAACATAGCAAAGAAATCCCACCGCAAGAAGGCTAGAATTTGAGGTAAGAATCCAACTATTATGAATTAACTAGTATTATTGTTGTATAATTTTTAAGAAATCATATGGTGGACTAAACATAAGTTTCTACACGTTTAAAAGTGTAGAATATTGTTATAAAGTAGTGGTATTTAACTTAGAAGAGTTGGTGAATCGATAGGAGTCGAAATCGCCGGAAACCGCCAAGTATAGGAGGCTGTTCGTAGCTGCAGACCACGAAAGCCGCCCACCTTTTGCAAAAGCTGGCCGACTTTCGTCTGTTGTCCAGATTTTCCACTTCTAATCGATTTAGAACGGGGATTGATCGAAGGGCTTAACAAAGGCAACTATTGCAGCACTTTATAAGGTGAGGATGGCTGACTATATTGCTTATAAACTTTGGGTTAATTTGATAAGATTACCTAGGTTAATTAAATGTGATTTTCATGGATTATTAATGATTAATAATGCCTAAATGAAAATATTATTGTTTACGAATAGAAGATGCATAACATACAAATTTATGAGTAAATGGTGTATGGTGATGCATTATAAATATGATGGTATGATGATTGTATAAATCATGAATTTTTGTGAAGAAATATACTTTTACTTCATGTATAGGGATCATGAATGGATATAAGTGATATTTTTGATATTGAGATTAATTCATATACGGACTGGAAAATTCATAGGAATGAACATTATAATTATGAATTCAAGAGCTTGGTTGCTTAAATACTAATGGATTAGTATTGAACTTACTAGTCGGAAATGTTAGCATGAAAAGTGATAGAACAAATCCTAAGGGTTTGGATTGTGAAAGATGTACCTTAAGTAGTCTTATAGATGTCTTAAGGAAGAAATGGGTAACCGCTAAGTTGCATTAGGAGTAGGCCTCTTAGGCTGCTCATAATAAGGGAACTCTAGGCATAGAGCTTGTTTAGCGAATTAGTATCGTGACTAGAGGAAGCCTCTAGCACGATGAGGAATGACTAGAGGAAGCCTCTAGCATTCATGTAGGACGACTAGAGGAAGCCTCTAGCGTAACATAATGTGACTGGAGGAAGCCTCCAGCACAATGTACATAAGGTGATTAGAGGAAGCCTCTAACACCAAATGGAGTGACTAGAGTAAGCCTCTAGCACGACAAAACATGACTAGAGGAAGCATCTAGCATGGTGAACTAATATAGATGGGCGTGACTTGAAGTCACGGGGAAAGGGTTGCATGTTTTCAAAGTGAACATGAGTCTTCGGGCCGACTACTTGACTTTATATATAAAGTAAATATATTTTCAAAGAGGGTAACCAAGGGTTATGACCTATAAAATAATATCACTCTATTTGAGGGTATTGGAAATTGAAACTTCGATTATACTTAGTATAGTTGTCATTGTACTTGTCAAATGCTTCCAAGTACTGACCTCCCCTTCACGGGGGGAGGCCACCTCACAGTTTCACGTAGGGGTTAAAGCTTGCTACCAGTGCCCGTTGCTTCGGGGAGATCGAGGGGAGAAGACGTGGTTCGTGCTTCCTCCGTTTCTATTTTAAAAACATTTAAATAAATGCTCATGGATAATAATTATTTTTGAATAATTATTTGAGGGCTTGTATGCCCATGTTTGCCAGATGTGGCTTGAACACTTGTATTAATGTTTCCGCTGCTTTAAATGAATATTTTAAATTATGTTTGTTTATGGATGTACTATGTGTGAATGGTATTCAAGACGCCTAGTATAGTATGGACGAGTTGGACTGTGGTTGACTATCCATACTGTACGGCGGGTTGTTGACGTGTCCGGTAGGTCCGGGGCGTGACATAAATGACCACTAGAATTACAATTGCATGTAGAATGAATTAAGAGAGATTAGTAGAGATTAAGGGGCCGTAAGTTTGCTCGTTTTGGCAATAATTTAGGATCCTGTCGCATGAGAGATCAGCCTGGTCCCCTAAATTATTGTACTCTACGCCGCGAGAGCGGTAAGAACTTAGTATTGATTAGCTAGACTCAATGAAATTAATTTCATGTAATTAGGCCTGATCTGCCAGAAATCTGGTTACCCCGGAATCAATCCCTGTTCCTTTCGTCGTTAATTAGAAAGAAACCAAGCTTCATTTTTATTCGTTCATTCACATTAGTTTAATTTTCCAAACCAATCAATCTCGCACAATTGCATTTTACTTTATTTTATTTCTTTTTAATCGTTGAATTTAGTTAATCTTTAATTCCCCTTTGTCCGTCTGTATGCAGACGATACTCGTACTTTTACCCACTTTTCTACAACCATTTTAAGTGCGAGAAAACTCACATCAACGGGTAACCTGCTAATTGACTTAATTGAACATTTTCACAAAATTCGACAATTTAATTGATTCTTTCTAAAAATATGAGGACTTAATTGATTTTATCGTGATAGTACGAAGACCCAATTTACAATTTTCCCAAAATCATACAATGGAGATCTGAATGTCCAAAAAAATGAATCCCCAATTTTCGGATTCCTCACTCCGGAAATTCATAGGTCTCCACTCCGTCCTAAAATTTTTGGATAACCCCTAATTTTGTACACAACCGAATCTCATTTCCTCTACTGAGCGGATCGGAACAATGGAGATTGCCGTGGATATCAATTACGGAGCGGATCGGAGTGTGTAAATATTACACAGAGATCATACCCACGCACATACTCAATTACGCAGCCATCCATATCCTCTCTAATTCACAAAAGCAAAATCATGAAGTTCCAAAACCCACTTTCAACCCTACCCTCAGAGATCAACCGTGACATACTTTCAAGATTGGAAGGGAAGCAACTGTTCATAGCCCAGTGTGTGAGCAAAGAGTGGTATTCCTTCATACAAGACATCAAGCTCTCCTACACCGGACAACCCAGAATTCTCATCCTCTCGCCTGGAAACCACGAAGGAAAACATAGGGAAGTGAGATCAATAAGCCCTGATCTGGGGAATGAAAGACTGTCCCAGTTCACAGGCCATTTATCTTTTGCAGAACCCGCTGCGGACGAGTGTTTAGGTTTTTTTGGTGATGGTTATAGGTTGAGGGTTTTGTGTTCTTGCAGTGGGCTTGTTCTTATCCACATTGGAGAACATTTGATTTTGTGGAACCCCCATACGAGCTGGTCTACCAAAGTTCTTGAGCTTCAAAGACTCCGAGATGACGACTATAAGGTATTAGGAGGGCTTTGTTATGATCTCTCCACCTCAGATTACAAAGTTGTCTTATTACTTAGTGACAACACCTCGGACCACGGTGGTCATTTTGTTTTGGTTTCAACCCTGAAAAGTAAAAGGTGGCGAAAAATGCGCTTTCTGTATAACTATATGACTTCACAAGTTGGGATCAACTTTAATGATATACTTCACTGGATAGTGAGTGACATACAAAACTCTCAGGGGTGGCATTACTATAATGATCAATATATGAAATGGGACAATCTTAGGTGCAATAAGATTGTTTGTTTCGATCCGGTTGATGACACATTCAAAACATTGCCCTCCCCGACACAGATTAATCGGGGAGAAGAAGATTCGATAGTTGGTATGGGAATCATAGATGGATGTTTTTGCATGGCTACGAAGGATGAAAAGAGGCAAGTGATCCAAGTTTCAATTATGAAAGAATATGGAAAACCAGAGTCTTGGGTCACATCCTTTGCCATCTCCATGTTGGGACCTGCACAACATAACTTTTACAACCTCAAATTTGTGTCCCAAAATGGGAAAGTGTTTATGAAGTTTGGTTATTTCTGGAGAACTTATGTGTATGATGTCAAAGAAGACAGACTGGAAGAGATGTTTCCTGTACCGGATGGTGTTGCTAATGATGGCCTTAGTTGCTTCTACGTTGAAAGCTTTGATATGCCACATGAAGTAAGTTGGAGAGATGGTGATGAGAAAAAATGCAGGCTTTGAAATGTTTTGGAATATCTGGACTTCTTATGATTTAAAATACGTAGTATCTCATAGAAAGGCTTTGACATTGTTGCTTCAAAATATGTAGTATACCAGATCAGAATAGTGTAACTAACAAAGAACCTAGAAATTCTGTATTTCTATGACTTGGTGTTAATACTCACTTGGTGACTTGGTGTTATGTTATGCTTCAGAATATCTTCTCTTTTTCCATAGAATGACTATAATAAGCAACCATAACTTGAGGTCAGTTGAAGAGGTTTAGTCTAGAAAAGTGTGTTTTGTGGATATTGTTTTTTCTAATAAATTTACTTAGAGTGTTATTCAGTCATGTTAAGAAGGTTCCCCAAAGTTAATTAGTAGTGGCCCTGTAATTCAACCTATGGTTTTCTTGAATGTATTTTAACAGTTGCATTAGTTTCCCAGTTCAGCTCTTCAAAAGACCCCATTCTCAAGCTGTTAAAATTATGACTATCTTTAACAATTTCCTCCGCCAAAGTTTTGCACTGTATATTCCCTATAAATGAACTGGAATGTGACATTTAATTTAGCAGAAACCATTATATTATATTGCTAATCACCCCCCCCCCCCCCAATATACAGCATGTGATGTTTATTATTAGTAGCATCTGAGTAGATATGGATCCAATAAGGATGAGGTTTCTCCTACAGTCCTACTGAAGTTTCAGAATTGGTTCTCCCAATTGAATGTTTTGGGGGTCCTCGCTCTTTGTGTTATGATAACATGAATTGAGATATTGATAATGATTCCACTTCAGGCTCAGATACCCCCATCTACAAACATATTTTCATTACTTCTATGGAACATTTTAATACAAGTAATTTTTAAATCAATAAAATATTTTTGCAATGTATTAAGATTAATAATTACCTAAAGTACAATCACTTTGTTTGGACTCTGGTTTGTGTTATCCCATTCATTTGATCATATCCTTCTTGTGTGCATAACAAAATACTACGTAGTACGTATTGTTTATTTACCCACTCATGCATGCTAAGAAATCCTTTGTTACTGAATTGCTACTTTTCCACCACCATGGTAGAACCTTATTCAACTTGCTTAGTTATATGTGAAGCAATTCAGTTAAGTATTTTGTACATAATATAGTGTCATTGTCATGGTCACCTAAGTGCTAAGTATTTGCTTAAAAATACTACTGAAATACTCCGTAAAATTTATTTACAAAAACATGATTAAGCTTACTATCAATATCAATATAGTGTCATGATGACTTAAGTGTAGATAAGTTAATACATAGTACTGTAGTATATCTCTTTGTGGAGTTCATGCCACAACAAAGTAAGGAAAAAATACTCATTTGAGAAAAAAAAAAGTTGAGCGTTTACAGTTCAACTCCTTTTAAAAAAGCATTTACTGTTCAACTGTAAAAGGGATAACAGGGAACAAGTACTAATCTGATTAAGCAAGTTCTATATTGTGCAAGTTAACTCATACGAGGGAAAATACAATTCTTCTATTATATGTACTCATTACGTATGACTATGAGTATGTGAGAAATGGTTCCAAGTAGGACCAAAATCATCCTATATAATTGCACTACTTTATTCGTAAAAAAAAAAGTTGCACTACTTTAAGATTTTTCATTTTCCCGCTCACATGCACACAGCACATATCTCCGAGCCCTATGATTCACTAACACATATCCACGACTAAACATTCGCTCAACTTAAACCATTCTATCCTCTGTGCAAATCTTTTTTCAACATCGCGAGAAATTACTTCACTCAGCCGCTCATCAGAAAAACTCTCTGTTCACATTTCATTCTCCATTACCTCACATCTCTCTTTTACCACAAATCATCTCAGTTCAAAGGTCCATCATCGGAATTCTCCCTTCAGTAATCTCATTTCTTCTGGCCATACAATTCTCAGATTCAGATGGCTCCAGACATTTCCCATCTTCCTTAACGACTCAACCATCTATTTTGATTCCCATCTTCATGGCTCACCCCTTTCACCTCTTCTGGCTCTTTTCTCATTTTCATCATCCCATTCCTTCCGCCTTCATCCGAACAATCTCGGCGCCACCTTCCAATTGAGTCTTCCTCTTATGATTCATTAGGGATGCCTGTCTACAACAGAATGAGAGTCTAATTTAAGTAAAACAGTATGGAAATTACATCTGGAACATTACTAGATACTTTTCAAGAGGAACAAAACATTAAAGTAACAATTAGTTTGGTAATTAAGTACGTATTAGTATATAGTACATTCTGTGCTCTAGAAACATTCTGTATAATCAAGTTAGGTCTACATAGGTTCAAGATAAGAAGATAAGTAACATTGTGTGCTTTATATGACTATGTTGCATGAAGCAGTCCCATTCTTGAGTTTTGGATGAGATAGACTATGTACAAAGACACATTGTGTGGTCTGAGCATGAAGCACACATTGCATGGACAAATATTTCTGCTCAGATAGACTTTTGTTGAATGTCTCAAGTGATGGATATAAAGTAATAAAATCCGGTGTTTTCGCAAACATAGCCGCTAGGATCCTACTATAATTGTGAATACCTTCATCACTCTTTCAAATATTGACCCTTTTCAAATATATGGCACCAGTAATAAGCCTCCACAATTTTTGCAAACTAAAAAAGCAAGAGCCTGAAGTTAGTTTGGTTATATTTTTTCCTAAATTTATACTCCATATTTTCTAGGTTTTTTTTTTTAACTCCAGGGGGGTCTGGGGGAGGGGGGCTGGGGGGAGCCTGGAGTAGTTAGGGCTGAAACCCACTTTATTGAGTTTCACATCCTTGTGTGCCTAGTGGGATTTGAACTCGAGACCTCCCACTAGGCACGATAACCTTACAACCAGCTGGGCTGGAATTCTAGGGGTATATCTAAAAATGCATTCTAAAACGTTTAAGGTACACAAGGTAAATGTTTAACACTTTAAAAAGACCAAATTGGGTATAATCTTCAGAAGTTCTCCCATTTTTCTAAAAGAATTAGTTGTGCACAAAAAACTCAAAAAAGGTTTCTTAATTTAAGCTTCTAAGCTTGGGTTATCACTCTCTTCTTTTAACCTAGACAAAGTTTTCTTTATCCTATCGACAGAAGTAGTTTTTTTTTTATCTCTGCTTAGCTTGCAGGTGGCTTTATTATCAAATCAATAATTGGTAGTGTTACACGGACTATCCAGCTCAGGTCTCCGGTTTACATCCACAAAGGATGTCAACTAACACCACTAGAATCAAGAAGAGGAGAATTGGGCATCAACCAGCTAATCTATTCTGCCCTAGGTTTTAATTGCTTCCACAGAGGAGTAGCAGAGAAGTAGGGTTCGGCCATCCATCTTGGCAGAGAAGAGAAAGGTATAAATAGACCAAGCAATAGATTATAGAAGGTAACTTACCTTCATGAGAATAACTTCCAATCGGATGGATATGCGAAAGGTAAGAATCGCGCAGGAGTCGAAGAAGGAAAGAGCCGATTAGCAAAGATGCGTAATTCAAAAAACTCATGGACCGATTGAGAGCAAAAAGGTAATGGGTCGGGTACTCCTCTTTGGGCTTAAGAATAAATGGGCCAATACCAACAAATCCTCCACCTTATTGGACCCTAGTGGTGTAGAGCACAACGCTCTAAAACAATTTGAGACTCATCATCGCTGGATTGCCCGAATAATCACAAAGACATATTCAGGCAAAAGGGGTAAGATCACCAGGCAACTTATCCGCAATCAATGTTTAACGTGCGTTTGCACGACAACAACTTTTCGACCGAGAGACATTTAGTCCCCATGTCAGCAGGATTAAATTCCGAAGGAATTTTAATCAACTTGATATGACCTGCACTCACAATATCACGTATAAAATGAAATCTAACATCAATGTGCTTAGTTCTATCATGAAAAACAGGGTTTTTACACAATTGAATAGCAGATTGACTATCAGAAAACACACAAATATCCTGCTTAAGACTACCAATCTCCGTTAGGAGACGTTTAAGCCAAATGGCTTCCTTAAACGCTTCGGTAGCGGCCACATACTCCGACTCAGTGGTGGATAGGGCTACTATGGGTTGAAGTTGAGATTTCCAACTAATGCACGACCCACAAAGAGTAAACACATAAGAGGTAGTGGATTTCCTATTGTCTCTATCATTAGCAAAATTAGAATCCACATACCCACTCAACTTAACCCCCTCAGAACACCTAGTGAAAACCAACCCATGATTAACAGAAGATTTCAAATACCTAAGCAACCACTTAAGAGCATTCCAATGATCTAAACCAGGATTAGACATATACCTACTCAAGCAACTAACAGCATAGGCAATGTCGGGTCTAGTACTCACCATGAGATACATCACGGACCCAATAGCATTGGAATAAGGCACAGATTTCATTTTAGCAATTTCAGGAGCAGTCTTAGGAGACTGATCCTTACTTAACACAAAGTGAGACGCCATCGGGATAGAAACGGGAGTAGCGGAATGCATGTTATATTTACTCAAAATCTTTTCAATGTATGAAATCTGGTTGAGAACTAACACACGCTTACTCCTATCCCTAACAATGTTAATGCCTAGGATCCTTTTGGCATCACCTAGGTCTTTCATAGCAAAGTTCTCACTGAGACGCTTTTGCACACATTTAATGGCGTCACCCGAAGGACTCACAATAAGCATATCATCCACATATAGCAATAAAAATACAGGCACAGAAGAAGTATTTTTAAAGTATAGGCAATGGTCGCATTCGGACTTGTGAAATTTCAAAGATGACATGCATTGGTCAAATTTGATATTCCACTGCCTCGGGGACTGCTTCAGGCCGTACAAGGCCTTCCTAAGCAAACACACATGATCACTCTTCATGGGATCCACAAAGCCCTCAGGCTGGGACATATAGATTTTCTTGTCTAAATCACCATGCAAGAACGCAGTGGTGACGTCCATTTGCTTCATTTCCCAATCATTATGAGCAACAAGAGCAAGCATCATACGAATTGTAGTAAATTTAACTACAGGAGCAAAGATTTCAGCATAATCAACACCTTCCTTTTGAGTAAATCCCTTAGCTACTAACCTAGCCTTATATCTAATGTCGTTAGGCTCTTCCTTAACCTTAAATAGCCACTTACAGGCAACAACGGAACTATTGGGCGGTCTAGGAACTAACGTCCAAGTCTTATTCGCTCTAAGTGACTCCATCTCACTTTCCATGGCGCAAAGCCATTTAGCGGACTCATTAGACTTAAGGGCCTCTCTATAGGTTCTAGGTTCGTTAAGCTCAAGGGTCTCAAACACAGAGAAAGCAAACATAGAAGTATCACACATATGGAAAGCATAATCAGGCATACTATCAGCAGTTCTCCTAA